GGCTAGGGTCAGGGTCCCCGAACAAAACCCCACAATCTCCCACTGCCTTGTGGGTCAGACTTTTGAGTCAAAGGCTCAAGGTGGGGTACCTCAACCAAACCCACTTCCTAGGCCTGGGCAACCGGGAAGTATCATTTGCCCGAGCAATTCAGCGTCCACCGATGACCCTCTCCAACACCTTTCCACCGCACAAGCAAACGTCGCTGGGCCATTTGATTGTCAGTCATCTGACCGAAGGGCTTTATGCTCCTAGATGCCTACAAACAAACACAAGAATAATATCTATCCCAGCTGTTCAGATGGGATGTTTCATCAAAAACTTCCCTCATAAAACGACACATAGACTGATATCAAAAGTGATCGTCTGGATAAACGTTCTGCTGTAACGCCCTTTCGGTGACTAGCTGCCATGCCATCTGAAGGAAGCACGAGGGCTGGGATACTGCCAGGTTGCCCAATCCTAGACAGGGGAAGTCGAGAGGCGGAGGTCAGATTTGAACCACGGACCTTCCGGTCAGTAAATTCTCTAACTAACCGCTTGAGCCATCCCGCCTTCCATTCGTAGCAGAGCGGAGGCATGTCAGACTGAAGTGCTTATGTCTTTGCCATGACCGATCTGGATAAATTCGCGCTCTAACCGCTTGAGCCATCCCGCCTTCCATTCGTAGCAGAGCGGAGGCATGTCAGACTGAAGTGCTTATGTCTTTGCCATGAGAGTCCGATCTGGAACTGTGTTCCTACAGCTCGAACGGTAGCTGTGCTCCGAAGTAGTGTCGCGGCTGAACGATAGGTTCCAATGTACAGCATACGAGCATGCGCATCAGTCACTCTAGAGCCTTGTTTGTTGAGAGCGCGTAGTGTTGTTTAGAAGCGAAAATTTGCTAGATGCAGTTTATGACATCTTGATCAACCTTCCTTCCAATTTGGGTGAGTATTTTGAAGCGGAAGGCATGATGATTTACCCAAATGTTAAAAACGGATCTCATTTCCTTCTCGACCATTGCATGTCAGTACGTCTTCTGGCATTCTTCTGCGCACGTCTTGGGCGAGGCACTGGAACAGGCTTACGGTGGTCATCTGTGCTATGGACCTCCTGTGGAAGAGGGATTCTATTACGATATGTGGTTTCCACAAAAGTATATCAATCAATCATTTTGTTGTCAGCTTTATTGTTATTACTATTGCTACCACTGTGATTATGAAAGCACCAAAACACGTGGTTTGTAGATAGAAACCTTTGTAGGTAGAATTGTATGGCCTTTCTTCTAAGCGCAGTTTAAGTACTTTGTCTTCCACCAATACGGTTCGCTCCCTTGTGCTGTCTGGTGCTACTGGCCGAGATATCGTTAGGTTGACTATATCCCCGCTTTTCACTTGGCTCCGTTGAGGCTTTGGCACTCTGGAATTGTCTCTAACCGTGTGCTCTTCTCCTATTGCGTCAGTCATCTGACCAAACGGCCTTATGCTGTTCGCTGCCTACAAACATTAAACAAAATAACGCCTTTCTAAATCCACGAGATCCTTTCAACATAGGGGCTTTTGACATCCGTACTCTATGTCAAATTGGCAAACAGGCAATGCTTGCTGTAACCTTGTACCCCCTTAAAATCGATGTATACTGTGTCTCCGAAACACGCATACAAGACCCGAGCGTGATTATGCATCTCAGAATGCTAAGCATGAACACAGCTCTTTCATATTTCTCTCTCCGTGTGTCCGGTGACCCAGAAGCGATGACTCGTGGAATATATGGCGTGGGAGTCACACTCAACCCCAGAGCTGAACATGCTTTACTGGATTGGATCCAAGTGAACAGTCGCCGATGATGACTCCATAATATGGGAAGTTTAAAGTCAGAGTACAGCATGGTGAAATAGAATGATTGAAGAAATGCTTGAAAAAGGTTTCCTACTGCAACCCAAACGTCAGCTCATGTCAGTTTTGTGCAGCAGACATTAGTTAACTTTCAACGGCTATGGGTAGGCTGTCATCTTTCGGAGGCTCTCTGAACAAAAGTGGTTTCAGCTGGTCACTCGTCAACTAACTCTTTACTTCTTTGTTGCCTATGACTGTCAGTCACTCCTCGAATGCGAGTCTAATGAACGATAATCTTTCATGAAGGGGTCATCATCATCATCGACAGCATGACATCACTCCTCTGTCCTGTCAAGGATTGGCCACCTCTCTGTTTACTCCACTCTGAAATGGGCATGGAAAACAGCACTCTCTTCGATAAACGATGGCTCGGCAAACGTAACACATGTCCCAACCAACGCGGGTTCTTGTGCTGGACACATTCTTCAATGGAAGTACCCCTCGCACAACCGAATAAGCGCTTTCTGACTGCCTCACTACGGATTCGCGGACACCAACCCACACGAGCTATGTTTCTGAGACAACACTTGTCGAACACCTGAAGACGCCTCAGTTCCGCTGCTCGAATAGGCCAAGTCTCACAGCCATACAACAAAACAGCCCGTACTGTAGCTTGAGACACACATCCCTTCAGATTCAGGGATAAACCATTCTGACGCCATAGGTGTCTCAAGTTAGCAAACGCGGCCCGAGCCTTGCAGATTCGTGCATTCACCTCATCTGACACACTATAATCAGAACTGATACAACTTCCAGGATACGTAAAATGCTCCACAACTTCCAATACCTATCCCTCCTGAAGGGGTAGTGGAACCGGAAGGAAGATAACAGCCCTATTCAACTATTTGGCACTCGTCCGTATGGTTTTACGCATCAACTGGTATTCGCATCCAACTCTCGCTGTTGTACCATTGAGTGAGTTGAGATCAAAATGCTACCAGGTCCTTAAAGTGAGTAAGCACGTTGATTCTCAATTTCTTTGCAAATATTAGAAGAAAAGATTATGACGAAGGTGTTTGTAGAACACTTCGACGTATTCAGGAAAACCCACTTAAGTGACCCGCAAAATCAGAATCCAGAAATTGTGGATTCTTGAGATTTATCAAAAGAAGCGGTACTACATGTATAAAATACGTAATAAAAGGGGTAAAGACCTCAAATTATGTGGGGTTTCCTTCTAAACTGTTGCACAAAGTAGCGCAAGTTCAAAGCAAGCCGGGGGAGAATGGCAAATCGATCTTAGTTTGCGACACACGCCTGAGTACAACACACGGTAACGCAAAATGGTTAAAACAGCACGTGTAAAGAATGGTTGACCAAATTGATTCGACAACTCAAAGGTTGAAAGTTCATGAGGGATTATAAATGCATATCGAGTCCATGTGGCAGACGCAGCAAACAGCAGCAGAGAAAGGAAGAGTTTGACCGGGGGAAACGAAGTACACTGTTGATTCATTTCTCTCTGATAAACGCAAAATGGTCCCACGGTAGGTTTACGCTGTACGTTGCATCGATCGAGTTCAAAACTGTTTTCTGTGAGTCTTGGGTAAATATATGATCCAACGAAATACGACAAAATATTCATACATTGGTAAATTTTGTTTCGCAATGATCTCCACTCGTACAGGTGAATTTCTGCAGCTGTTATTTTACTTAATGTTTCGGACCAACCTGACCTCTTTCTATAACAAAAATATGTGGGAGTTTCAGTCGGTTTAATCTAGAATTATGGGCTGATTTTACCGGAGTAAAAGCGCAAATCCTCAAGGTCATAGGAATCCTAATTCGAAACAAAACGTCCCTGGAAAACATATTTTCCACTGGTTCAAATCTGCATTTCGGAGTGTGCGGGAAACAAAACCCGTCGTGTTTTTAATCAAACTGAGTTGTGCTCTTGTGCTTTCCTCTCCAATTAGATGCGTGACTCTCTGCAAAAAGTTCATAACCAATAACAACATTTGATATGGTGAATTGTGCTCAGCGCAGCAATCGAGAGTTAATCAGCAGCTTGTCTAAACTGCTGACTTATCTTGTCTGAATGGAAAACCAATTATGTGTCGGTTTGACAGTCACAAAGAGACAAATCGCTTCTTATCGTGCCGTGCAGCAGAAAAAAAACAAATGATAAGGGGTTAGCGCAATTTTCCAGTCTTCTGTTTCTGGTATTTGCGCCAGAAGAATTGGAAAGACATGCTTGAATTTCACCGGAATCTCCGGTTGACTTGTTTTGTTATAATGGTGTCAGTTTGATCGTTTTTACTGGATCAGCTTATGATTTGATAAAAAAAACGGTCCGGACAATCAAAAGCCTCGCAAAAGTGAAGTTCTCGGGTTTATTTATTATCCAATTGTCTAATGCATTGGGTTTTCAAAACACCGGGCTTAGGAGTAAATGGGCAAGGCTCTGTGCTGTAAAGTACACTTTCCGAAGACGAACAAAATGGCTTCAGAACTTAAAACACGTTCACAAAAGTCACTGAAAAGTTAATTTACAAAAAATTGCACATTCGATAGATGACTGCTGATGGTGTATCGAGCAAACTGATTGTTTCCGTCAAACCTAAGTAACTACTTGTCCCTGAATCCTGGAGTCTGGGTTCACGGTGAGAGTTTTGAGCTGGCTTCCGGTATATAAGTCCTACAACACCAATGTTATTAAACCTTGCAACTGACCTAGTTTGCAACAGACGGTGTAGAGGCACTCTAGCGATCCAGGATTAGGACAACGCAACTGAAAATCACTTATTCGGTGAGGACACCGAAAACCAGAGGACGGCTTCCTGTCTAATCGGTTACCATGCAGGTACCGTAGGTCTTTTGGGAGAAAAAAATGAGAACAAAGTTATTCTCCAAGCAAGTAAGTGACAAACGGATAACCATTTCCAAGGGAAATCATAAAGTCAAATTAGCCGGTGCACTTTGGTACTTGTTTTTGCCATTCGGTCCAACTTGCAAGTCAAAGAAAAGAATGATCCTTCAACCGTTTTTACACAAATTGTCAAGACCGTAGGGCTGAAAATGGAAAGCAGACTGCGTGCAAAGTCCTGTGTAGTCAAAGCGACAGTCAAGCGAATAATAGGTGGTCTTTTTGGAACTTGGTAGTGTCACGTGCTCCACCCCTCCAATCACAAGACGACTGGCGTCTGGGGGCACATTCTAAGCGTTTGCGGCTTGACGGAACATTCGAGAATGTTGCCTCAACAGCCCACATTTCAGGTGGCTACCATAGGAGTGACAGCTTCATTATTTCAGCCACGTTGTCCAAAATTCCCAAAGCATGCTTCGCGAACTTGAACCGTTCCCTTCACCTACATCGTTACCACCAAGTTGGGTATGGGGGGCTTAGTGGTAACTTGGACTACGTAATTGAATACCACTCTGTATTGGCTGTAACCGTCATTTTTGGAGAGCCACACTATGAAGCATTTGTGGGGTCAACTTATCCCGTTGTGAGGACAACCAGTCCATCTAAAGTAAAGCATATCAAAGCAAAGTAACTTGGATCGTGATCTACTCAAATCCACATTAGGCTGTCAAATAATGAGCGTTTTCTTTGAGTGGCCTGATTACAGGAGAAACTGTTATGTGTGAAGCTACGCTTGGGTTGACGTTTTCGGGTTGTGATGTACAAACTAGAAGCACTGAGTGATACTCAACGTGGCGGTGTGTAACTCCAGGCAATGACATAATTACTATTTAGAGCCAACAACTTTGATAGAAGGGGTGGTGAAATACTCTGACCCTCATGAGTCAGTCGATAATACTTTGAAAAACACGCGGTTCATTTTTTAGGTCACAAACGAGAATTTGCAGTGAATGTTCATAGAAAAAAGTGTAAAAGGGATTAAAAGTACATGATTTCAAAAACAGCTGTGATGTTTTCCACTGTGGCCTACTTGAATCTCACGGTTTGTTAATTGTAATCACTGAATATAGCCACAGTCTCCCACTGGGGTCTCACTTAGGTTGCGAAAGTTGAAAAATTTACTTCGATCTTTGTGAATTTGTGAGTGTTGAGTGCGTAGTGCTTGCTTGTACTTAGCGTCCGCTAAAAAGGGCACTAGTTTTTAGGGGATGAATTTGAGAACAAGTTTGAGTAACGGTACGCTCGTACTATGAAAACAAGTAGATCTCCGTAGGAAGATATTCCCGTTTTTTGCATAAAAAAAAACACATTTCTGGGGTCGTATATATGCTTGCGGTCTTCACGTAAAAGCGTCTGCATGTCCCCGATGCAATTAGTTTGAGTGTTGTTCGCTGTCGAAGCCCAAACACAGCAAATACCGGAAAATCAAGATCGACCTAGAGAGGTTAGCGTTTATGAAGAAATGTAAAGGCGTAACAAGGAATGCATTAACCACAGAAGACAGACGGTTTCGCCACTATGTCATGAGAAGGACTAACTATTTTCTCAGGATTTTCCATTCCGCTCGAGACCTTTTGGCGGTTCTGATAAGCAGACAAAATTTCGCAGCCTGTCCTGAACGTTTACATTCTAGCTTTTCGTTTTAACTATTGAATATAATCGATTATGGTGAGAGTTTTGTGGTCGTTGTATCGAAAAACAATCACAGGTTCCGCAGGACACTAGTGGTCATACAATGCTTAGCAAATTAGCACTAATTTGTTGATCAAATTAGTGCGTAAGAGGAAGGATGTAGGGTCTTACATTAGCCATGAACGTTGAAATGCTTAGTACACATCACGGGTCAACTACCATAGTCACACGTCGACGCAATCAGGCAATCAATACTCCAAGCAAGCCAAGAAAGCTAAAGTATTTGTGAAATACGTAGTGTAGCAATTACACACCGAGGCCACTTCCTAATCAATATCGATGTCTGGTCACAGCTGACATATTCGTGATTCGCTCACGTCAACCCAGTCTGCGCAGTTGGAAAGCGTCCGTACGCCACTCGAGCCCCACTTGACCTGATCACGTGACCGCCCA